GTTTTCCTTCATATATTTTTTTTAGTGGTTATGCAACATCAAATTCTGAGGCATAGTACACCACAGTTGTCACAATGTAGAGATTAGGAACTTTTAGTTTTAATGTTTTCTAGAATAGAGCTCCAGTTAAAATTTGAATGTTCATGCTAGTTATAGAGTGGTTCGGAAAAGGTGCTAGATTCTTCTTGTACTGGACGGGAAACGGCAGAAATGGTTTTTCACCCTTTTCGGTGAATTCCTACCCTTAGTTTGACTTGGTAACTTGAAAAAAAAAAGTTTTCATCACACTATTTTTTGGGTTATTCAACATAAAATTCTGAGACATAATACACTACAGTTATTACAGTGTAGAGAGTGGGAACATTAACTTTTGATACTTTCCTGAAGAGAGCTTCAGTAAAGATATGAAACTTCATCATAGCTATAGAGATGTTCGAAAAAAGTGATATATTCTACTTCATCGGACGTAGAGTCTCTGTCATCGGGCGAGAAACAATTGAAACTTGTATTGTCATCAGGCGTGGAGATACAGTTCAAATTTAAGCAGATCACTTTAGCTAGTTAAAAATGGATCGAAGTTTCGATTGTAAAATCTTATAGTTTAAAACGCAGAAGTTATCTATTAAATCGCAGTAAAACAGGTTAAGAATCTTCTTACATTTTTGATAAGGAAAAATATGATCTTAAATTTAATTGAATCCCCTGGTATCCCTCAATTGGAATAATCAATATTTAAGCAGATTGTCGGAAAGCTAAATTTAAGAGGCTATTAATTTTAAAAAAGGAACATTTTCCATCGTTAAAATATGGATTAAAATCATGTTTAGCGAAAATTAGTAAAATCTTAATAAAAACTCTGAATCGATATAATTCTTGAAAATATTACTAGTGACAAACCTACTCATAAGTCTTGAAAGGCAATATGAAATTTGTTCTGCCAATATAAAAGGGATTGCAGTATTATTCTTTTTAAATAAAATAAAATAGACGACATTAAATAAATGACAGATTCTATTGATAAAACTGGTAGCAATTATAAAGAATTAAATCAGAAAAAAAGACATCAAAATTCTTTAAATATTTATTAAGAATCATTACTACTTTTTTGAATGTTAGTAATACCCACAGTTTCTCCTTGGTATATTAAGTACACATGATAGTGCATGTTTCGAGTCACTCCAAAGCTTCAAACAAAGTATTAAAGATAGGTCATACATGGAAAATATAAGTATTTCTGTTTATAGTAAAAACAAATCAATTCCATTTTTTAAAAATAGCATATAAATCAATAATTTTAGTTTTTATTGCTATTTATTCCACTGCACTTTAAAAATAAGTTGTGTAATTTTTTAAATTAAAATTAAAATTTATTAAATTTTTAATGCATAGAGTGACCTAAAAGAAAAAAAAAACTTTTTGAAAAAATAACGGAAAAGGAATTGTTTCTAAAAGGAATTGTTTTTAAAAATGCTTTTATTTAAATAGCAAAAAATTTCCCCCTTTTAAATTGCAAATGTTTTGTAACAGCAGGTAAAAAATGAATATGATAAATGTTAGCAAATTTGAGAATCCTAAATTTAACATAAAAATTTTCAAAAGAACATCAAAAAATGAAAAGCAAGTTTCTTTTTCAAATTTTTTTCTATGATATTATAAATAAATGGAGCCTTGACCTTTGTTGTTTTAAACATGATATAAATTATACTAATCCTACATTTTAAAAGATAATTAACTACTTAGTTTTATATAATATTATAAAATGGTTGATTGAACTAAGTTTTAGATAAAATTTTAATTTGGATATGAAGTATAAGCATTTTATTTGGAAAATAGAATATTTAAACATTTAAAAGAAGCTTTAATTTAGTTAAAATGATAAAGGCATTAAATTTTACATATATTTCCTGAACTGTGTATATTTTAGATTGTTTTTCTTATACAGCAATATTATAAAATATATAAGTGTTTATGAGGACAAAATTGAAACTATTTAAAAATCCTTACACGTAAAAAGTTTCTATATTCATAAAAAGTCATTATATTATTTCATTCTTTATAAAAATCTAAATAAATTAAACATACTTATTTGTAATTAAGATTTTCTGCTGTCTATTTTTTTAATTTTTTTTATTTTTCAATTTCTGACGAATTTCATTGTCGGAGTTTTATTTTTGCATCAAGAAAATTTATTTTAGGAAAACAATGTGATTTAAAAATCACATTGACCAAAAATTGAAAAGAATATTGAGATAAATTTAAACTATTAGCTCAATAGTAAACGCTGACATATTAATGCTCATATTAATGCATTCAATAGTTTAGTTATTATTTAAATATAGATAAATCCCAAGAAAATCTCAAGATAATCTATAGATAAATCTCAAACTATTTAATTTAAATAAAAGATTTTGTAACTTTGAACGTATAATATTTTATTTTGAATAAATTTAGTTGTAATTAGTTTGTTGAAATGTCGGGAAAAACTTGAAAATGGGTGCCAATTTTTTAAGTGCTCGAAACATGCTGATTTTTATATTTTTGTAGCGAATCAAGCTTTTTAATCAAGTAATACTATGTTCTCTAATTTAAAAATATTGATCAATATTAAATTTTTACTGATTGTAATGCAAAAAATTATTCTGCTATATTAGATAAACTGGTCTATAAAATATCCTTTTTCGTTGTAGCAGCGTTAAACTGTTGAAAATATTTATTTTAATGTCGTTATTATGAATCACAATTATTTTTAAATCTTAAAATGGCGGAGTTTTCAGAAAAAAATGACTAGCATTCTATTTACACTGCACCATTTTTGTATTCTATTAAAAAATGGTTTATACGGATCATGATTTCCAAAAGGAGTCTAAAATACTATTTGCAGACTTTTTTTACAGATGAATTAATTTTGAGCAATTGACACATGAAGACTGACACCCTTTTTACGTGTAAATTTGCTTAAATTCTAAACGAAACTATCCTCTTCGATTCTGTTAAACTTACATTGAATTCGTCTTATAATCTTTCTGCACTACGTGAATGTTCCACATACTAAACTATTTTATTTCTAGATTTAGTGTATATATACAACTGAAATTAATGATTCTTTCTTCATATTGTTTTGTGAAAATAACAGACTCCTATGAATACTTTATCAAACTGTAGTAATAGAATGTGTGATACTGAATACTGAAAAAATGATACACAAACATTTTTACAGTGTAGCCCAGACCATTATGAGAGTGATAATTAAAGAGAGAGATTTCGATTATAATTAAGAGCGACAAATTAATGTTTCTTACTCTATATTGTCGCGTGAAAATAACTGACTTCTATGAGTATTTTATCAAACTGTAGTCATAGAATGTGTGATAATGAACACTGAAAAAATGATACGCAAATATTTTTGCAGTGTAGCGCAGACCATTGTGAGAGTGATAATTATAGAGAGATATAATGATTATAATGAAGAGCGACAAATTAATGTTTCTTTCTCTATATTGTCGCGTGAAAATAACTGACTCCTATGAGTATTTTATCAAACTGCAATTATAGAATGTGCATTACTGGATACCAATAATGGTGGCAGTTAATTTACATCGAGTAGTGTAAAGAACATTGTTTTTTTAAGTATACCTGTATTTGTCCTTGTGGCACTACACCAATTTGGTTTAGAGTAGTTTGACGTAAAGGAGTATCTTTTTTGATGTTATGATACACTAACATTGTTGCGCAGACAATTTTGAGAATGATAATGTAACTGAAGTTATGTAAGTAAAGTACTTACAAGGGTGTGAAATACCAATATTTAATGGAAACCACATCTTAATATGGCCAAATGTGCGGCTGAAAATTCATGACTCGATAACGATGTTCCTAAGGATTCTTAATTTAGTTTAAATTCGAGGTAGGAGAATGTGGCATAATTATGCTGGCACTCTTTGAAACTCAAAAACACACCAGGCCCTGCTAGACACGTCGCCATTGTCCTGTTGGTAGACACTATCATACTAAATAAAAACAATATCCGCATAGTTGCTTACGTGGTCTGCAAGGACACATGCCGTTGTGTTAATTCACTATATCTTACACAATGTTGACTGCTTTTAGAGAATACTATGGATACTTTTCTCAAACCATAATGTTTCTTTTTATAGTTTTATTTTTTCCGGGAATTGTTGAAGATTGTATTTTTCTGATATTTCACATTATATATCTTCGTCACCTGTCAAAAAAGGCTAAAGAACATCAAAAAATCTATTTAATTTTGCACCCAATTGTGGTACTGAGGCTTAAAACCAGCTTTAATACACTGCAAACAGCAGTTAGGGTACTTGATTTAACAGACATCTGCGGTGGAGACCTATGCAAATTTGTTTCGCTTGACAATTGTTTAGGAAATAGTTGGAAGCCCATTAGTTCATTTCGGCGACCAGTTGGTGACCGGTAGCCCATTCCCCTGCTACCCTGGCTCACTATTGTTCTCTATGACCCTTGATGCACTGCATTTACCACATGCCATAATACCATTTTGCCATGCACAGTATACGCGGAATATGGTCACAAGTATTTAATTTTAAAAAAAATATTTCCTTCAGAAATACTTTTTTTTGCTCGGGAGTAAACAATCATGAATTTCTTAGACATCGGGTAAATCGCGGCATTTTTGTGTTACGTCAATAATTGTAAAGTTTTGATAATTGAATAATTGAAAATCTAAACACCACATATTCACCCTTTCATTTCTAATGCCATTGTCTTCTGAAATTAGTTTACTGAATTTAATTATCATACTCAATACACTAATTTTGTCCTCCATTAGCTTTAAACTTTTGATCTCTACTCCTCCTTAAAGTTAACGCTATAAAAATATTTCAAAACGCAGTTAACTTTTAGGCTATTAGGAGAATAAAAATATTTGTGAATCATAAAAGCAAAATTTTGTACCTTATAGATAATTTGAAAAAAAAAACAGTATATAACAGAACTGTAGTTTTACCTACCTGCTAAGGCTGTTGGTCTTATTACAAATGATTCATCACGGATCCACGAGGTAACGGTCACATAGTCTTGTACGAGGCCAGGTAAGTGACACTTTAACACAGCAGTATTTCCAAGAATCACAAATTCATCATAGACATCTACAGCATAGGGCTGATGCACAACTGTAAAAAATATCAAAGAAAACATTATTTGCTGTGCAATAGTTAATGACTGTGTTATCTTTAATGTAATCGTTTTATAACATACTGCGCCTCACATAAAAATTGAAAAAAATCTAACTAATTTGATATATCAATAAAAAAATTTTTTATTCTGTTATAAATAATAAAGACTGCTATTAAAATGCTATGTAAGATGAGCAATTTAAATATAAATGAAAATATTTGTGAATACAACTTTGAAAATATTTTTAAATTTTCTATCTTCATCTCCTAATCATGCTGGCGTCTAGCTGGCGTCATTTCACTTACTTGTGCACTCGAATTTACGCTTAGCACCCGTTCACGAGTTTTATGTAAAATAAATATCGATCTTCTATCATCACTGTCATGTTATTCCTATAGTGATTATATTTTTGCGGAAGGAATTTATTTGGATAAATTTCATCTGTATTTAATTATGTTTTAAACAGGAAAAAAATATTTGTGCATAAAACTCTGTTAATGATAATCATGAAAGCAGATTATTAGAATTAAGTAATTCCATATTGCAGTTAATAACACAAATATTTTATATTATTTTTAATTTTTAAATTTCGAATATGCATATTTTAAATCTATAATGAATGTTAATTATGGGGTTTAAATTATAATATTAGAATTTACGTCGTTTGTAACTTTGAGTATTAGAATATAATTTTATTAGGGATTAATTCTACAGTAGAATACTAATTGTTCATTTATAACTACATTAGTTCGACTTAATTAATTATTTATTGAAATATAATATAATCATAATTTAATTACGAAGGCATTTTTAGATTATTGATTGATGTATATTTTTCAGACACTTTAAACATCATACGTGCTATTGCGTATGTCTTAAAATTGGAATTTATTGTAAAGTTAAAAAGAAAAAAAATGCAGAGCAAAAACAATAGTTTTTTAGAAAAATATTTTTTTTAATATTTAAAAGTATTTTCCGCTGCCATCCATGGTTATAAATAAGAACTTATTTTTTTTATGGACATTGACTATCCAGAAATGCAAAATTTTCGATACTTTGTATTGTTTCAAAATTTTTTTTATCAGATATGCACACTCTTAATTTCATTGCATGCATATACATAGAAATTTGAATTAGCAAGAATGAAACATAAATAGAGTGAAAGCGATTTTTTTTTTGTGCAAATTAAAAAAAAATGTTTTGAAAGAGTTTTTTCTGCATTGCGCACTTTAAATAATATTTACCCTTCTGAATATTAATTACTCAAAAAAAATGTTATCCTACGCATTTTCTCTTCCATGCAATTTATTTCGAAAAATACAACTTTCAGCAACTCAAATTCAACATCTATTTGGCAAACAAGTTTCAATTTCAAAACTCTCATATTCCCAGGTGTGTAACTAAACTCCCTTGTCACAGTTTACCTTCAAGAAATAATTCATCAAATTATCGTTTGTTCATTTTTTCCTCCAAATTTGCGACATAAAATGAAACATTCTGAATCATGACAGATAGCTTTAATTAGAAAGAGTAGAGTGTTGAGAGTTTCTCTAGAACAATTTTCTACCATTTTGGACAAGAATGCTCGCTAGATTACTTTAACTAAGTGCACATACTTTCGGTAAATTATGCTGAGAGAAAATTCCTCCTAATTAAATTAGGAGATAGGTAAAATTATTAAGGAATTCTCTGTCTAGAATAATTATTTTCAGAAACTTGAGTTTAGTGTTAAGATGTTTTTGTATTTTGCTCTCTGTTTCATATTTCTCAAGGGGAAATGCATTTAAAGCAATATTTCTAAATGACTTTTTTACGCATTTAGCTGAATTATTTTTTAAAGTGTTTTTCAGGATTTTGACTAATTAAGATTTTTTAACTATCAAATTAGAATTTGACTTTAAAAATTTGAATAATTGAAGTCAAAAATATTCGAAGCCGTGCTTTTTGTTCAAATCGTTTTCCAAATCTCTCAAATATTTATTCTAAATTTAAAAGCCGAGTTTCAGAAACGATATTATGACTTTTTGGAAGCTTTATGAATCTATTAAATATTTAATTCAACTTAAAGTAACAATGCTAAATGCCTCCTGTATTTCAATAAATGTTTTATAATATGTTTCAGAAATGTTTGATATTATTTTAAAAATGTTTTATATTTTAATTATAACTTAGTCTAAAGAGTAACAATGAGATAATAGTAACCAAATATCTGTACTTGAAAAGATGAAATCAGTAGATTTAATGAACTTTTAACATTAGAAAGCTCTGCAATAGCATTTTCTATGTATGCTTATTTTTTTCTTATATTTTCTGTTGCTTAAAGATAAATAAACTATAATAATAATGTGAAAAATTTAACTATTCAACTAAAACGGATTATACTTAATGGAGATCTGGAAATCTGATGTATTATTTACATAATTTACAACGCTGTTTATAAAAGGGGTTTCGTAATCTAATAGGAACACTCTAATAGGATAAACCTTTCTTTATGCAAGTTGTATTGCATGGCATCTATTACGTATGGCAATTATTGGCATCTATTGCATGTTAGCAATTATGTATTAAGTGTGCAGGATTACATATTTATGAGCCATTTTCCTAAATTATTTGGAGTAATTTACTGAGATTCTCTCATTTTTAACATTTAGGGATGTATACCATGTTATACTCTTCACAATATGTTGATATTCGATGTTAAATTCTTCACAATATGCTGTATCTCCATGTTATATCTTTCACAATATAATGCTTCTTCATGTACTCTTTGCAATAAGTTGCATCTCCTATACTCTTCACAATATTTTTTCCTGATACTCAATAAAATAATTCAAATAAATAATTTCAAACAGACGATGCAAGATGTTTTAGAGTTAGAGCAAAGTTAAATAATATTTTTATAATCAATTGTGGGCATAAATAAATTGAAATTCACCCGTTTTAATATTTAAAAACATAGATAATATTATTCTCTTCATAACGTATCACTTTTTCATGTTATACTCTTCGCAATATATTGCCACTCCATGTTACAGTCTTTAAAATATATTTATAGCATACTGCTCAGAATAACTCAAATGTATAATCTAAAGCAGATGATGGAAAATGTTCTTCAGATAAATCAGAATCATACAATTTTTTTATATTTTTTTCTCACGTTATGTGGATAAATTAATTGAAAAAACCCCATTATAACATTTAAAACTATGTACAATGTTATATATGCTATATCCCCTATCTTGACCCTATCTTGAAATAAATTCTTATAGATTTGAAACAGTAAGGAGTTTTACTTATTTAGGATCAATTATCACCATTGATAACAGAATTATTTCTGAAAAAAACCCCGACTCTATCTGGAAAATAGGGATGTCTATGGGCTGAGGAAATTTTTAAATCTAGGTTTCTTTCTAGAAAAACAAAGTTCTTAATCCACAAAACTCTTGTCCAGCCAGTCTTGACATACGCCGCTTCTGAAGCTTGGACAGTGACAAAACAGGAGGAAAATTGTATCGAAACATTTGAGAGAAAGATTTTGCGGAGTATACTTGGTGGTGTAAATGAAAACAATAACTGGAGAAGGAGATTTTGCTTTGAACTGTACAAGATTTATGAACAACCTGATATTATTAAATGCATAAAAATAAATAGAATGAATTGTATGGTACACTTGATTCGAATGAGTGATGACAATACAATAAAATAGATACTGCTCTTTAGATCCACTGGAACAAAAAAGCGGGGAAGGCCACGGTTGAGATGGGCTGACTTAGTGGAGTCTGATTTTCTCGTAATTAATGAAAAGAATGGGAGATCAAAGGTAAATCGGAAGTCGTCATAGAGAAATCTTCAGAGGAAGGCATTGGCTCACATTGGGCTGTCTGGCCAACTATGATGATGATGATGAATGTTATACTCTTCATAGTGTGTTACTACTCCATTATTATACTCCTTCACAATATGTTGTTACTCAGTGTTATATTGTTTGCGATATATTTATGCCATACTCTTCATTTTGCGATGCAAGATTTTCTACCTATAAATTAAATTAAAATGTATTTTCTTCTTTCTTTATTTCTTTTTACTATTATATTACATTCATTTTCTTACTATTTTAATTTAATAAATTTCCCATAAACAAAGTATCAGCTTAAAATAAGTATTACTCCTTTAATTAGGTTGTACCCGTGCATAATAGTATAAATTCCCTTCCATATTGCACATGCACTTAACTCTTATTGTAATTAGAGATTAATTGAAGCATTATATATATGCATCTGTATGAAATGCAGGAAAGGGAATTTTGTTATATGCAAGGTTTCACACCATAAAAATAAAGTTTTGACGTAAAAACTCATTTTAATAACAAGAAAAAATAATCGGAAAACAAGGTAAATCTTCACAAAAGTACAAATATTTTTCAAAAAAAAAAAAATGGAGCCTCCGGAGTGGGTGTTTTTATGTTGAAACTACACTCCCCAGAAAATTTTCTTAGACATTGAAAATTAGATCAATAAGGTAAACCAACCAGTCAATGAACATTTGATAAATATTTTTTAAAATTTAGATTTCAAACGTTTTTACTTAGATTGATTGGTAACAGTAATTTACGATAGGAAGTCATCCAACAACGCATTGAGTTGGCTGGTACATATAGTTTTCTCTGGAAATTTTATTGAATTTGTTAGTATCTGTTAAACACCTTGTTTCCATGACGAAATTATAAGGTCAGTGTTTGTATTAATCCGTTTAAAGTGCAATTAATTGCATATAATAATTTGATTTTTCTAACTGTGAAAAAAAGAATTCAAAATATGGTTATGAAAGTTACGTCTTATTTATTTTAAGCATCATAGCATAAGTAAATACAGTGATTAGGGGATGTTTATTAACTGGATTATCAAACGATGAAAAACCAATGAGAGAACAAATGCTCCTTTACTGGGATTTTTTCAAGTTAATGAAAATAAAAGAAAATTTTTAATTTTTTTGTGCCTTTAGTCATATTATGCATCAAAATTATGTTAAAAATACAAAAAACAACTTCTAAGCAGTGAAGGAACAGGCATGTTCCTTCACTGGGAATAGATTTCCCAGTGAATGAACAGTAGGTGTGAAATATTATTTTACATGGCTCTAAGATAATTAGCAGTCCTGCGATATAGAGGGCACCTAAAATTCTGCTAAATGCTGTATGAATAATTCCTAAAATAATTTAATTTCAAAATGCTAATTTAATTGCTAAATTTATGAAAATAATTATAATCATAATTTATTTATAATATATCTTTATAAATGTAGTGGTTAGTTCCATCATGCGTTAAACAGCTTAATAAATTATGTTTACTCATCGAAAACTAAATAAATATAATTATAAAAACTTGAAAAGAACATTTCTTTGCCGGGTTTTGTGAAAATAATAACTAAATTTTTATCCTAATGCAGTCTTTAACGTCATGACGGAAGCTGGTCGGAAACATCCATTTAAACACAGCCATCCAGGAGAAAAATGGGTGAAGCTTTTTTTAAGTCGACATCCACTGATAACTCAGTGCAATTCCAAAATAATTTCAAAAGGTGAAACTTCCCTTTCTTAAACTGAAAATAATATTCGAGAGTGGTCTAAAGAACTTTGGAGGAATCTTAAGGAGGGGAGTAGAAGGAGGGAGGTAGCCATCGCATTCTTTTAAAATGTGATCGCATCTACAATGCGAACGAAACAGGAGTTGAATACTGGCCTTAAACGGGAAAAATATTTGCCCCTAAAAATTATAAGGATATATATTCTATAGTTCCTAGGAATGAAAAAGAAATATCAACAGTTTTGGGCAACATTTCAGCTAGTGGAAAAAAAGTACATCCATTGGTAGTTTTTCCTTACTGAAGAGTCCATCGAGGTATTACAGAATCAGTTCCTGCTATATATTTCATTGGAAAAAGTGATTCATGAAGTAAATCGATGACCACAGCAACACTTTACGATTATATTGCAAATGCTTCTTCCTACCCATGGCTTACGATTATATTGCAAGATTAAACTCTTAAGCATGTTCTCCATGTCTTCTCCATGTTCCCATAGGCGAAAATTCTATCAAATTCCTTATTTTGCTTCTTCTGGATGGGCATAAATCTCATGTCACTTTGAAATTGAGCAAGTTTTGTTTATCAAAACAAATTCTCTGGTTCAGCTTCCTACCTAATTCTACTAGTGTATTCCAACCTTGTGATGTAGGCTTATTTTGATCCTTGAAAACTTGAATGAAACTTCCGTTAGATCCGTAGAGTCGTAAAACAATATGTAGAGGTAATTTTACACCCATTTTTAATAGGCTTTTGAAACATCAACTGATGAAGTTAAAATGCTTTTATAAAATGTGGTATTTTTCCATTTGATGTTGAAAACGTTGACTTTAACAAATGCATGCAAGACAGACACAAAGAGCTAATGAGCAAGAAAGATTATCAGCAAAACACATATTTCGATGAACGAGAACTTCGAGTAACGATGCACTATTTCTTCCGAAGCTTGAGAATGAAATCTCACAAGATATGTTGCATATTTTTAAAGGAACATTGACAGAAGAGTCTAATATCCCAAATATCCAATAGCCAGTGCTTTTCCAAAAATGGAAGAGTTTATTACAAAAAGAAAATTTGATTAATTCATACTTTGGCACTGAAGCTGAAACAACTAACATTGATAATTAATGATAATGATATCTTGAAAACTGATTTTGAGATAAGTCCTCTTGTGGCATTGTCAGTTGCAAAAACAATTCGTTCCATTAGTAATCAAAGTCAGAAAATGGTAAGTACTGCTGAAGACCCACTACCCAGTAAGCACACACCTCACGGCAAACGTAAGGCCGTAAGCTGGCATTCTAGGTAGGATAACGGCAAAAGGCAAGTACAATAGGGTCCTTTATCGTTTGTTTTGAGGCATTTCAGGAAGAGGCGGAATAACTCNAGTGCGACGTAAATTAACAACAACATCGAAACACCCTTTTCCCATCAATTATCTAGTGAAAAATTCTAGAAATAGTATTGAAAAATCAGAAGAAATTTCGAAAATACAATAAATTGGCCAAATATTGGGAAAAAGGAGGGAGATCAAATCAAAATAAAAAGAAATCAATCACCTTTTGTATTAACTTCAGAAAAGGAACGAAAATTTTAAAAGACTGAAAGAGCTGAAAAAAGTGTTAAAGCAAGAAATTATGATGAAGAGAAAAAAATATTTAAAAAGATAAAAAGAAGCTTAAAGAACAAGGGGAAAAAGATTAAACGAAAACGCGATAAAATAATAGTAATAAAACATCATCAGATTACACAATGATAAACATTCATGATTTAGATTCGACTATTAAACTGTGAGAAAGAAAATTAAAGACATTTTTTTTTTAATTCTGCATTCAACCCCGTTTTAATTTCCATTTCCTGACTGAATAGAAAGTAAAATTTTCCACTTTCACTGTGGTTAGATGCTATAATTCCAAGAAAAAATCCTTGTTTTTAGGCATTTGTATGGCTTAAGAATTACTAAAGAGCATAAAAATTCTCAAAATTAACTGTTCATTCACTGGAAAATTTAGTGTTCATTCACTGGTAAGAATTGTTCCTAAACTTGGTTATCTTACTACTTATAATTTGAACCACTAAAAGCGTAAAACGATATCATGTAAGTTCTTTAATTTTTTTTACACAATTTGCATTTAATAAAAAATATGTTGGCACTGTCATTTAGCTAAAATTACAAATTTTGAAATTTTTATGATTTTTTTAAAGGCAAGCTAAGCTTAAGCGTTCCTTCACTGGTTAGTTTACCCTTCTTTACTTAAACTTTCTCTGTGCCATGCAATCATGAAACAATCTTAATTAATATTGATTGTTAATTAATGTTAATTCTTAACATTAATTAACAATCTTAATTAAGTGTTGAATTACACCATATGACTGATGAAGTTGAACTGTAGTAAAGTGAATTCACGTTTAAGAATGAATAATTAGTACCTGGAAAATTATGGAGGAACTAAAACATTTTACTCTATTAGCATGCTGTGCATTTGGACTAAATTATGGTTCAGCCCTGTCTAATTTTTTTAATACTGTCCTAGAATAGCTAATCGTAATTGCCGATCTTAATAATAAAAATGTACTTAACAAAACTAAAAACAAAGATTTATAAAGGTTTTAATGACGTAGTATAGTCTTAACATGGACGTCCACGCTAGAAAGAAAAAAATTCAAAATGAATAAATAAGTAAAATAAAGTAAAGCGTACTTATTTTATCAGAAGTTATTTACCTATAGTTATTTTTTACTGGCATTAGCAAAATATTTATTTCCAATGCTGCTCTTTTTAAGGTAATAAAAATATAATATACTTTTAAATGTTTTCAATTTATGTTAATAAAACAATTTATAGTTGTTTATTAAAATAAAATAAATATTCTTTTGGCGCATATTAATTCAAATAGTTTGCTACGCACGACATTAATTAGACAGAAGATGATTCAGTGAGATAATATATTCCTGCACAAGCAAACTAAAATAGTACAATAAAATTTATAGCTTGTGATAATATTGCTTTCTAGAACACGTTTAAAAGCTTGGAAATGAGTTTCTGTGGAAAGGAATGTTAAAAGTTTAAAATAGTAGTTATAATGCAAAATCTACTAAATATTTAAAATATGTAAAAATGCTTATTTTTATTCGAGAAAACGTATTAACGTATATTTAAAAATAAAGTGTTTCAATTTAGAAAAATGAAACTAAATTGGTTTTAGCTATTAAAATTTAGAAAACTCATTAGAAAACGAGGCAGATTAAATATTATTCTTTTAATGCTTGTGAAATACTTTTATAAATGATGCTAATTAAGCTTTTTTAAAAAGTCTAGAAACAATTACAATACGAGTTTAAAAATTGGATGAGAATAAATATTTAAAATCTCGTTTAACAAATTATAATTTAGGAACTAGATTTTTTCTATTTTTAAAATTATTAGATGTTTGAAGAATTTGTGGAATATTTTTAGAATAATTTAAATCAAAAACTGTTTTGAATCAGTTTCTTCTAAGTTATAAATTTAAGACCAGTTTTATCAATTTTTGTAAGAAAAGTCTTTGCAGATATACGAGATATTTTCTCTTTATCACCTTCCGTAAAAAAAAAAATTTACATAAATTCATAAATCCATTTGCAAGTTATAGAAATTTATTTAACTTTGTCACATTTACTTGCTGAAATCCTGAATTTAAAATTTACTAAGAGGCTCAATTTTTGAAAATAAAAATTAATGTTTCATTATTCCATTTCAAACCAAAATGATTTCAATTGTCTTATAGATGAATTCTAGGATAACAGAAGTCTTAGTAGCAAATTTTTAAATGTTTTTGGTTAAACTCTATTTAAAATCAAAAATTTCATTCTTTATTCCCTGCTCGTTCTGCTCACTAGGCTCTGCACTGTAAAAAATTCCTGACCATATTATAGTAAAAAGTACCGGCAATTTGGGTAATCATCCCTAAAATTCATTGATATCGTTAAAGATTATATCATAGATTTTTACAGTGATATTTATTTAAATAGAATAATTCACCGATTTTACGATAATTTTTACTACAGAAATTACGATATATTAGATTTTTTGTTCCGTAACATTTTCCGTAAAAATGAATTTTCCGGTAAAAAGTACCAGCAACTTGATTGCCGGCACTTTTTACTGTAATTTGATCCAAAATATTTTCTGTATGTAATTACTTTTAATCATTCTTTTATTCCCTAAAATTAATACATTTCAAACAATAAAAGATCATTTTGCTTTTAAAATATATAATTATCTAATTTCTTGAAAGCACATTTTGCTAATAAGTGCTTACGAAAGGAATGATTACCTAGACGAAATAACAAAATGAATGATTACCTAGATTAAAAAAAAATAACAAGGGGCATAATATTTGAAAATATTTAAATTTAGGATCAATTCAAATAGAAGAAATTGTTTTTATTTCTCTTCATCTTTCAGTTTATATTTTTGTTGTTGTTGCTGTTGACGTATGCCTGTTTAGGCAGAGGGAGTGCGATTGTTCTTTTTTTTCCAGTGGCGCCATCTATGGCTAAAAATTCGACTTCTCCCACACCATACGTCGCACCCGTTTATAGGGCGGACCCATTCATACATCCATTCATTCATCCACAGATCGTAATTTTGTCCTGAATCAGAACACGATCGATCTCCAATCCAGTACCCCCAGAGGTATTGATTTGTTACGGGAACATCGAGGACTTTTGCGACTCGACAGATTTAACGTACACCAGTCTATATTTTTTTAAAATTCCATTATAAATGTTAAGATCTGTTATCTGGCAGCCTCTAACCACTCGCTACGTTATTTGTTGTTACTTCCAATATTAGCATAAGCTCGAGCATATTTTTCACTACAATAGATAGATAGCCATTATTTAAAACAAAAAGAAAGTGTACAAAAATTCCCGGATTAAATATCCTAAAACTGCAATAACTTTCGAACGAATTGAAATTTTGAGAAAAACAAAGACTCTTCGTAAGTTCAGAAATTTAAATTGCCTTTTCACCCCCCCCCCTCTTAAATTTCAACTCTTTAATTGCATTCTTGCAAGTTGACGAGTGACCCACAGACTATTTTTATCCCAAACGCAGCAGTTAACAATTCTCAAACTATCAATTTTCTACACACCATACTAATTTACAAACGTAAATTAGAACACCGAAAAAAATAACAGTGGTGTCACTTACGATCGTTTAATGTAGGTAGATATATGATTTATATTTGCTAAATGCACGTATAAACATGCCAAGTATAATTAAAATATGCATACTATTTTGAATATAGTTTAACTTATAAAAGTTTTCTAACAGATATTTTCAAAGTAGTTGTTGAAAAAAGTAGTTTTACAAAATTGGTATTAGCAAGAATCTATGTAAAATGTTTCTTATACATTACCTTTCCATAAATGAAATCTCAATCTCTAGGTTCTAAATTGTAGTATTCACTTAATTGAAAAAATATCAAATTGCAAAATGCCATTAATTATTGTCTAAGCCCACGTCGTAAACTTGAATGATATCTAAAATGATGAAGTATTTTAATGGCAAGTTATTTTAGAAAAAAATTATATTGAAGCTATGTTTTACGTGAAGAAAGGGATGAAATAAAATGATTTAGTATATTTATATCTCTTGTAATAGCACTTTAGCAAAACTGAAATACAACAAGAAAGAAGAAGCTACGCAGTCAAACAAGAAACACTTAGAGATAAACAATAAGATCTTCTTCCA